TACTAGCGATAAAGGTTGTTGGATGAATAATCAAAGTCTTAATTTGAGATAATATGAAATCCTTTTATACGTCTAACTCTTGCTGGGAGTATGCCTATAGGCCCTTGTTGCATGTCAAAAATTTTATTTTCAAGTGTCATAGGAACAACTAGCCTTATGTTAATTTGTAGGTTGATAAATGAAATGGGATGTGCTTAACTAAGCCTTGATTATAAGGTTTGGAGGAGAATAGCTAGTAAACATCTAGTCATCTCAAATTTTAGGCATGCCCTTTTTGGATTTTTGTACTTGGGGTCAAGAGGGGGCTTAAGATGGTTTTTGGACCATAGGTTGTAACTTTGAGTTACAAGATGTAATTTCGGGTGGTGTTTTGACATGGAGTTGAATCTAAGCTCCTTTGTCCTCAACTTTTCGTTGTATAGGTTCATTAAAAATTCCTTATCGGCATTATTGGCTCTGCAACGTTCTTGCCTTGAGCTCTATTGATTTCAAATGCATATTGAGTAATTTTACATATTCTTTATATGTGTTTTATTAAAATTTTGAAATGCATTATATGCTTAATTGTTTCAAATGTTCTATCATGCTTAAAAGCCTTACATGATTTGATGTGTTTTAAAAAGTCATTCGATACCTGTGAAATAGCATGATTATTGATTAATTGTTTTAAAAATTAGGACAAGTATCATGAAAACATGCATCATTGAATTTTTGTTATGTACTGAATTTTTCTTATAAAAATAAAAATGCTATTTCTGTTTACGAGGATACATAGCTTTCAATAAGAATTTGTGTTTGATTTTGAAAAGGGAACCGAAAATGTGTTTTGAACTTTGACAAGAACTTTGGAAAATAATAGTGTTGGGGAGTCTCTGATACACCCTCAGCTAGTAGAGCATTACTAATCTTGGTACACCTTGACCCTAGCTGGTAGGGGTAATGATGCTAGCCCGTCATGTTTGGCCCACACGTATGGTTCAGTTCTATGATTGCGTGCCTATCGTGATTCTACTCTGATTGGAGGCCTCGAGCCCCATATTGTGATATGATCGAAAGCCTTAGAGCCCTATTCAGTGATATGTATGTGAACTCCCACACTATTCTAAAAAATATGAGATTTATATATCGATTGTTTACTATTTTGAATTATGTGATTGTGTATTGATCCTTTCATATTTGAAAGTGATGACTATGGTTCCCAAAATGTTTTACTCTATTGATTTGAGTTCTATGAAATGATTTTTCAAAAAGTGTTTGTTTCGATAATTGCCCTAACATGTTTAGGATATGTATTATTACTCAGTGAGTTTTTCGACTCACCCCCCATTTCTTTTCCCCTAGGTTCGGGTCCGCTTGCTTATTATAAAAGCTCTTATTTTTGTGGTGAGTTGAACAATTGTGAGTAGGTGTATCTATTCGGAAGTTTTGTATATATGTTTTGTCAATGTTGTTAGCTCATAGAATCTATAGAATTGCTCTATTTGTCCACAAGCAGAGTCTTGTTTTTGTTGCATTGCTCTGCTTATGCTTATAGTATTGTTGCATCATTTCTGCCTAGTTTTCTATTGTAGAATGTCATCAAGTTTATATTAGTTATTTGAATTGTAATTATACAATATATAAATTGCTTGAGGGGTCATTGTTAGATTATATTGTCTTCATTAACAAGATTGAAAACTTTGGAAATGTCCAATTTTTAAGAGAGATTCTGCCAAAATTTTTAGAGAATCCTACAATTAGAATTTTTTTTATAGTGACTCATAGGACTAACTAGGGTGATTAGATCACCCTAGTGCCAATCACGTACCCCTTGTTGTGTTGTGACAAAGTGATGAAATTTGCAGACAAAAGTGGATGAATGAAAACAAGTATGAAAAATAGATAACCAAATAACAACACTGAGTTTGAAATAACCAATCTTATTCATCCATTACAACAAGAGTAAGGTGTTTTTTTTTATTTGCTTTAGCCTAGTGTGTCAGCTTCTACCCATTGTTGTTAATTATAAATTTGTTCTTGTTAAATTATGAAATTATTTCTATTTTTGAAAAATTTTAAATTTTGTCTATTCTTTCTTAATGATAAATTTGCTCTTATTAATTAATTAAAAGTAGTTGGAAATTGATTGAAGTACTATACCGAAATATAATTTAAACTTAAGAGATAAAAATATTACATTTTTAATTTAAAAGATTAATGCAATACTTAATTTAAATTTGATGAACTAGTAGTGAGATTTACTCTAACATACGTTATACGTTATAAATGCACTCAATTTTTATTTTTAAATCACTTACTTCTACCATGAACACCTATGCAAACACCAACTGGGAGAAGAAAATGGGCTTTAGCTTTTGTGTTTGGGGCATTAGGAAAATGAAGCCAGCCTAGCTTAATAAAGTTAGGTGACTTCCAAACAGGGACCCCACTTGGGATAACAAAGCGAGGACAGTGACAGTCTGGGGGACAAATTTCAATAATTCAGTAGACTTTGTGCAATCTTTGGTCTTCCATCATCGGAATATGCTAAGGCATTTTGCTGAAGTTTCTACAGGGTCCCCCTCTTGTGGAAGTTACCTTACGCAGCTGCAACCACCATCCAATAATAATTGACATAATTGACTCATCGTCACGTAATTTTTTATTAGTAGGTGTGGACGCGACGTGGCACACCTCCATCGCCGTCTCATGTATCACCGTCAAATCTTCGCAAGCAATCCCGAGCACCCTCTAGCACTCATTTTATCCTCTTATCTTATCACTAACTCCTAATTTCATTTATTACATAATCAATCCAAAATTTCTCCTCTTTTCCTTTTCTGGTGCACGGGAAACAAGACATATACTAATCTATATAGATTGTTATAATCACAAAAGATAAATAAAATCTTCTATCACATTGAAAATTGAAATATAATTATACAAAGAGTAAATAACACTTTCCTCTCTTTAAATTTATTTACATGACATTTAATCACATTCTTACGTTTAAAAACACTTCATTTCTTTGATCAAAGTTGAGGAACCGTTTCCATCCACTTGTTATTAGATAATATTAATTTAAAATATTAAAATTAATTTTTATTATATATTATATAAAAATATTTTACAAATATAAAATAAATTTATCATAAAAAATTAAATTGTTCATTATAATCAAAAAAATTATCAATTTGATTCATTTATTAAAATAATTATTTTAAAATTTCTAATTTTTTTAATTTTTTTCATTACTTGATTTAATATGAAAATAAAAAATAAAAAAATTAAGAATTTAAATTATTAAGCATATGATTTTACCATTTTCTTAAAAAATCTAACTTTTAATATTTCTAATTTTAAAAAGATATAAAAAATTTTAATAAAATGGTAAAATTGGATTCTTAATAATTTAAATTCTTAATTTTTTTTTTATTTTTTTATTTTGTATTTTTCCATTAAATCAAGTAATGTAAAAATAAAAAATTTTAAAATTTTAAAAAATTACCTTTTTCTAATGAATGAATAAACTTGTTAATATTTTTTGACTATAATGAGTAATTTAATTTTATATGATAAGAAATTTATTTTATTTTTATATAGTATTTAGAAGGATAAACTGGGAGCGGACCCAGATCAGCACTCATGTCCCCTTGATCTTTACAATATTGGTTTGGTCTCTTTCATCAAATAATGGAAAAATTACGAAAGAAAGCCACTTGAAACATACAAATCACAGAATAGGATAATAAAAAATATCTATTTGGGAAACAGAACTAGATATTGAATTTTCAAGTATTGATCATTTAAAAATTTAATAAACGTAATGTATACATCAATCAAAATTATCCTAATTACTAAATACTAGAATAATAAAATTCAGTTTAAATATTCCTATGAAAATATAAATCTTTCACACAGTTTAGTGTTTATTAGTTGCGTGATTATTTCTATTGAATTGTGTGACAATTTTTTTTAATGTGCTTCTATTTTTTTTATTTGTCTTAATTTGTAATTTTTGTGGTCCTTATATGTTCTGTAAAATAATTACGTTTAGTACATGACTTAAATTTCTTAAAAATCATATCTGTTTGACTAACTTTTGTTAGATTTGATAATATGACATTTTGAAGAGTCTACTAAGAGATGAATTTCAAAGGAAGACACTTTTACTATGTGGTTTATAAAGTATGGTTTTCAAATATCTCCCAGGCGAGAGTGGCCTTAATCTGATCAGGGAGGATTTTTAAGGATTTTATTAAAGTTTTATGTATTTATTTTTGATTTAATTTAGATTTAGATTTAGATTTATTTACAATTTAATTTTAATTAGATTTTTGTTTTGTTTTAAAAAAAGATTTCATTATTTGTTAAATTTATCTCACTTGAGAAATCTCAGCGCTTCAAAATCTCTTCATCTATAAGTAGGAGGTTTTTTCATTGAAGAAGAGGAGAAAAATCTGTTAAATTACAAAAAGAATAAAATTTTTGGGAGAGAAATTTCATAGAAATCCAATCCGGAAGGGAGGTGAATAAGAAATGTTCAACTCTTGGAAAACACTACTGATTTGAAATTGAGAAATTTCACTTCAACAGTTGCCCTAATCGCTTCCTACAGCACCTCTTATTGTTGTTAAAAATTTTTGACTAATTTTCTAAATTTCTCCATTGACAAGAGAAGAATGAAAGAAATATTCAGATTGGTTGTAAACATCCGGCTTTCGGCCATTAATTATTTTTTATTCAATAAATTCCTTAGAATTTTTGAATTGTTTCATTTGGCTTTTTCTTTGAGATAAATACTCAACATTTTATATGAATCATAATCTCACCAGGCATACACAGTGGTAGAGCTTTGTTTGCGCGGGTAGGGCTTCTTCAAAGAAAACTTTTTTTTACTTTTTTTTTAAGTAGGTATATGTGTAACTCTCACAAATAAATAAAAAAATATTTACAAAATTTACTTTGATCCCTAAAAAATTTTAGACGGTTAGTAGAAATTTGATCCCTTAACATGACAGGATGCTTGTGTCGGATTGGCCTAGATCTTACCAAGAGGAAATCTCTGCCGTTGACTTTCAAAGATGGATCATCAACAGTAAGATTTGCTTGTACATTTCTATCATTATTAACCCATACCATCAGAAAATAAACGCAAACCATCCATCTATGAGGACCTGGCTCGAAGTTATTTAGGGAAAATATTGAGCGCTCGTTTCCCTTTCTATTTTTTTTTCTAACCCACTACACTTTTGTCCATTTTGTCTCCTTCCTCCAGCAACTTAACACCGTTGCAGATAATACAAAATGGGATTAATCAGTGTCCTTCTTTCTTTTTCTATAAAAAGGAACTCCCCTCTTCTGCTTTGCTCAGAAGCCTACTCCCCTCCAATGGCGCCCCAACAACTCTCCTCCCTTCTATGTTCTCTCCTACTCACTCTCACTTGCCTTCTCTTCTCCAGCCAATGTGCTGTCTCCGGGACCAATCTAAAGGCAAATCTTCTCTTGTTGGATTTTACTAGTTCTTTTTCTTATAGCGTTTTATTATATTATTTTTCTTCTTTTTTTATATTTTTAACTGTCCTTCCAATTATTTTGACTAAGTATACTCGTATTTTGTTCAGCCATGTATAGTGTACATGGGAGACCTTCCTGAAGAAGAATCTTCTGTAGCATCACTTCACGTAAGCACGCTACAGAAAGTGGTGGGCAGGTTTGTGTTCGCGCAGAGAATTTATAATTTTTTAAGAAGATAGCTTCTAGTTTTTTATTTATTTGTTATTTTCTGTTACATAATAAGAGCTCCTTCTTTTCCTGCATTTTTTTCTTATATTATTCTTTTTATCACAAAACTTCAGAGCTCCTATGTTCTTACGTAAGTAAAAACTTCGACATTAACACTAACTTGAAGGGTGGAATGAATTGAACAGTGAAGCAGAAAACCGTCTACTGCACAGTTACAGTAAGAGCTTCAATGGATTCTCTGCAAAACTAACGGAGGAAGAGATGGAAGAGTTGTCAGGTAACTTGATATCATGCTACCGGTAATTAATAGCCGCAGAACTTGGATTAATTGATTAATTAATTAATTTAATCCCCAGATATGGATGGAGTGGTGTCCGTATTCCAAAGTCAAAAGCAAAAACTCCATACAACAAGATCATGGGACTACATGAATTTCCCTCTGCAAGTCAAAAGATCAAAGCTCGAGAGTGATGTTGTAGTTGGAGTAATCGATTCTGGGATTTGGCCTGAATCAGAAAGCTTCAGTGATAAAGGATTCGGTCCACCGCCTTCCAAATGGAAGGGCCGTTGCCAATCCTCTTCCAACTTCACTTGCAATAAGTAAATTTTGTTATTTCTTTCTTTGTTTTTCATCCTTACAAAAACTCAAATCTTAAGTAAAATAAGATATACTAATTTATTAATTATTAATGCCGATGCAGCAAAATCATAGGAGCAAGATACTACCACAAGCAGGGACCAATTCCCGAAGAAGACATTCCATCTCCAAGGGACTCAGATGGCCACGGGACACACACTGCATCAACGGCAGCCGGAAACATTGTCACCAAGGCGAGCTTGTTTGGCTTGGGCCTGGGGACAGCCCGAGGCGGGGTTCCCTCGGCCCGCATAGCGGTATACAAGGTGTGCTGGAGTGATACTTGAAACGATATTGACATTCTCGCAGCGTTTGAGGATGCAATCGCCGACGGCGTTGACATAATATCAATTTCCTTAGGGGGCTACTCCGCTGCTGACTATTTTTCTGATCCTATTGCGATCGGATCTTTTCATGCCATGAAGAAAGGAATATTAACATCCGCTTCGGCCGGTAATGAAGGTCCTCACCGTCAGACAATCTCAAATGTGGCGCCTTGGCTTGTCTCGGTGGCTTCGGGCACCACGGACCGCAAGTTCTTAACCCCAGTTAAGTTGGGAAACAGAGAAGTTTACATGGTGAGCAAGTCTATTTAGTTTGCAGTATTATTTAAAGAAGTCTTACCATGCTAAGGTCTAGTAATGGATAATATATTGGTGGGTGTTTAAAACTCTGATAGTTTTTGCATTCTTCTTTTTGGAAGAATAAATGTGAATCTAATGGGACTAGATAAAGAGTAATTACTTAATGAGGATTAGTATTCCAATCCCTATTCCATCATCCCCCTTGTTTAATGGAAGTAATATTTTGAGATTAACCATTTTTAGACCTCACGATAATTATATATTTTTTATTGCAGGGATTTTCACTTAATACATTTGAGCTCAATCGCATGTATCATCTAATATATGCAGGAAATGTACCAAACAAAATCGAGGGATTTGAGGGATCCATTTCAAGGTATCAACACAAATGCATATATTTGACTTTTATAGCAGAAGCTGGTTTCCAGGTTTAAATCCTAGGGGGTGTTTGAATTAAAGATTTTTTGACCTTTAAACTTTTTTCTAATATAATATAAGTGAAAGTAATGTTTCATTATAAAACCAAACACCCCTTAACTTTTGCTAAATGGGAAACTGATGCTACGTGCCTGCCTGACTCGTCATGGAACTGTAGGTTTTGTGCCAACAACTCATTGGACAAAACTTTGACCAAGGGAAAAATAATCCTTTGCGACTTATCCGAAAAAACATCGATAGATACCATACCCTCCAGTGGCGTTGTAGGGTATGTTCTGCAATATCAAGATTCTGATGAAACTGCCAGGGCTTATCCAATTCCTGCAGCTTGTATGCAACAGGAACAAGGCGTCCACCTGCTTGATTACATAAATTCAACCAGGTACCAGTTGCAAGTATAATTTGCACAAGTTACGCTTCTGGTTGCTTACTTTAATTTTTATCCCGTAATTTCTATTTTGACATATCTAGTCCAGAAATTTTAAAAAGTTTATCAAATGAGAACAATAGTTAAATTTTAATTTTTACATACTGAAATCTTAAATTTTTAACATGTGAGAGGATGTGTGGTACTTAATGTTAGCAAAAAAAAAAAAAAAGTTGTCATTTTTTAACTGTAATGAAGCCAAATTCTGGAAGAAAATTGAGTTGTTTTTAATAGAAATCTTCTCTCTGCAAAGCAAACATCGTTACTTATTGTCCTTATTGGCATACTGGAAAAACTATTGGGACTGAACGTGTTACAATTTGGTATTGTGAGGACTGGAATTGATTTTGAAAGAAACTATTGAGTCTCGATTTACCCATATAGTTTTGATTGTCTGCTGTGCAAAGTAAACTGGAGGGTCTATCTTAAATTTATCTTTTCATGGATATGAATACAGAAACCCAACTGGAGTTATAATGAAAAGTATAGAACGGATAAAACCACTAGCCCCTATTGTAGCCAGAACTTCCTCAAGGGGTCCAAACCCCATTTCACCAGGCATTCTTAAGGTAAATTCATTGGCTTTCACATTTGATTCTATCTTCAAAATTTACTTGCTTATATTTTCATGTATTTTTTTATTTGCATTATGCGATGCTTGCGTTGTAAAATTAAAAATAAATAAAGGAATCCACCCATGGATGTTGATGCGGAGTTATTAGCAAACAGAGTTCACAACTCATTTTTTCCTTTTGATGAACATCTTAGTGGCATATTTATTTGAAGAGCACTTCCATTCCATCTCCTCTTTTCATATTTTCTGTTCAAATAATTTGGACTACCCATATTCCTCCTTTTCTGGGAAAATGGATTAGACTTGATTCGATAATTCATACAATAACATAGAATAGAATGATTGAACAAAAAATTTATGGATAGGTCCTTGCAAAAAATATAATTGTTACTTATTAACCTAATTTTTCTCCCTACATTTCTAAGATCAGGATTGTTACTTGTAATCAACAAAATAAAACAAATAATAAGCCTTGCTGTTGTGATAATCAATTAAGCAAGAATATTCATAGCATAGTCATGATATATATATATATATATATATATTGTCAAACTTCACTTTTAGTCCTCATAGTTTCGCCAAATCTAAATGTTGATCCCTGTAATTTTAGTTTGTCTCATTTAGTGCTACTATCTACGAAAGTGCAATATATTTAATCCCTAATTAGATTTTCATATGGCAACCTTGGTTTCCTCATCCAGCCGGCACAATAACGTCTTCTCAAATTTTGCCTTATATTGTGTTCAAAAAATGTAAAATTCTTTTTTACCTACATTAACCCTTCCCCTCCCCCCACCATCCGTTTTGATATGCATGAATTCAAGATGTTGGTGCGAAAAGCAAACTGAGCGGATCAAAATGATTATATTTTTAAATTCTTAAAATTAAATGTGTCACAATTAAAATTTAAAAAATGAAAAAAAAAATTTGCATGAAATTATGATAACAAGACCTGCAACGTAGTTATGTACCAGTTATAGCCACATGTTTGTAATTTTTAAAATAGACCATCTGTTGAATGACCATTGTTATACTTTCTTAATATTTAAGATGGAGACATTCTTACGCATCCTTAACCCATTAATATCATTTTTTTCAAAATCTTATAAATCAAGAATAACTTAAAACATAATCTTATATTTATTACAGCCAGATATAACAGCTCCAGGAGTGAACATATTAGCTGCTTATTCTCTAGTAGCCCCAATTTCTCCGTATTCAGAAGACATTAGAAAAGCACCCTTCAACATAATATCAGGGACTTCCATGGCTTGTCCCCATGTTAGCGGAGTTGCGGCTTATGTCAAATCTGTCCATCCCAATTGGTCTCCTGCCGCTATTCAATCAGCTATTATAACATCTGGTATTACATTTCCTTTTTTCTTTTTTTTTTCCATCAAAAAGCTCAAACTCAATGTTTTTAAACCCAGACCAGATCGGGCAGTTTGACTATGGATTGGCATAATAAATAGTTTGGGTGATATTTTAAAATTGGATATAAAATTAAACCGGTCAAAGTCAATCAAAATCTGGTAAAACCGACCGGTTTTTACAAACCAATTCAGACCTCCCAGCCCAACAATTCCAAAATTTAAAACCCCTTTGGCCTGCCTCTTTCTCTCTCTCTCTCTCTCCCCCTTTTGGTTTTCATTTAAAACTTCATTTTCAAACCCACCCCTGGCCTGTTTAGTTGTATAAAAAATTTTAGAAAAAACATTTTTATTAATTTTTTTACAATATATGTTATTTAATTTAAACATTTTAAAATATTAAAAATTAGATTTTTAAAAAAGATTATTTTTTGAAATTCTTAGTTAAAATTATATATATGTATATATTTTTTAATTTTGAAATGAATATATAATAATATAAGATATATTAATATGGCTATACTACCTAAAATCTTGAGTATTGTACAAAATTTAAATTAAAAATATACAAATGGACTATACTAACTTTATTAAATTTTTAATTTATTTTTAAATATTTTTTATTATCAATCGGTTTGACCAGCAATTAAACCGGTGAAACGTCCGGTGACCTTACCAATTTGATCACCAATCTGAAATTTAAAATATTACTCAAACTGTAAGGTTCTATGGTCATCGCGACTAGTCCTGTGATTGCTACATAATCATTAAACATGCCCACCTATTCCAATATTGGCAAGTCTTTAAGTGGAACTCCTTAATGAACTTGTATTCTAGAAAGAAGGGAGCATGATAAATTTAAGTTATAGCTCATGAACAAGCAAACTATCCTCCTTTCATTATTCGCTTGACTTTTTTGGTTTTTTGGCAGCACATAACATGAGTTCAGAAACTAACCCTGACGGGGAATTTGCCTATGGAGCCGGTTTTCTCAATCCTCTAGGTGCAGCACACCCCGGTTTAGTCTACGACCGAAACGAGACTGATTACATTGATTTTCTCTGTGCTGAAGGTTACAATGTCAAGCAACAAAAAAACCTCACCAAGGGCGGAAGCAGATGCTCCAAATCCTCCAAAAAAAGTGGCGGTGACCTAAATTACCCATCCTTCACCGTCTCTACCTTGCGACAGAAGCTATTTAGCCAAATCTTTGAAAGGACTGTCACAAATGTTGGGCCACCACAGTCCACTTATAAAGCCACTTTTTGGCCCCAGAGTCTGCAATTATTCAATTTCTTATTGAGCCAGAGACATTGAAATTTAGGTCAACTGGAGAGAAGTTGAATTTTAAAATGCAAGTGCTTGGAATCCTGGGCCAAGACGATGAAGCACTTGTGTCTGCGTCTCTAGTATGGGATGATGGTCGTTACCGAGTTAGGAGCCCCATTGTGATACATGTGCCATTTTGAGTTATTCACACGTGTATGCGTGTAATATATAAAAATATATGTACTAAATAAAAAGTGTAAAAATTATTAATATTGTTTCGCTGTCTAAAAGTTTTAAATTCGTCTCTTGGTTATTATTTATTTAAAATTACTCTCAACTTATATTAATGTATTAATATTTATATTTGAAATATTACAAAATAAAATAAATTAAAAAAAATTATTCATTTATATGAAGAGAAAAAAGTGTTGATATGAACCAAAAACGTTTCCGTCATTTACTATTGTAAATAATAATCTAAATTAATTAAAATAACATTATTTTGACATTTAAATCAGTTAAAACAATCAGTTACATCCTTATATTAAACATTTAAGGGGTAACAGTTTAACTAATTTATATTATTATTTAAATTTTGTAAGTCATGTAAATATTTTTTATTGAAATTAATTCACATCTTTTTTCCTATCATACAGACATTTCTATGAATATTTTCAATTTATTTTGAATTATACTGATGTTGAAAATGACATTAATGCAGTAATATTAATAAGGGATCATTTTAAGACAAAATAATAATTGAAAGACAAAATTGAGATTCTCAACATGTTTGGGTGAATATTTATGATTTTTACCCTAATAAAAACTTCAATTTGCATCTCATACTCGGCGAAACTTGATATTAGAAATTAACTAGTGTTATAATGTAAACCTTTTGCTTGTGACACGTCGGATCATTGGGTTTGGAATATATTGTCATGAATCCAGATCCTAATAACCCACTGAATAAAGAGAAGAATTATGCTGAAAATGATAAGATTCTGAAAGCTTTGATTGAGTTTAGGTTTTCCTAATTTTGCCAAATTCTATTCTGTTTTGGAGATTTTTTAACGTATTCGGTTAGTCGGAAGATCCAATATAGGAATATCTATTTCCATTCAATTAGATTGGTTGAAGATTTGAATTAGTTCAATTTGATTCTGTTTTCCCAAAAAGGTAATTTAAGAGGGGGATAAAATGGGTATTTTTTAGTGAAATTAAGTGTGTAAAAATTTAATAATGTAATAAAACTTAATGCAATTAAATTCGCTCAAAGTAATTACAAAATAATTTTAAGTAAAATAAAAAGAATAGAAATAAGAAATGCAAACTCTTTTTATAGTTGTTCAACTTTATATCCAAGTCTACGCCCACTCTCTCAAGTTCCAATCAATCGAGATTTCATTAAATCCCTTACATTTGATAGAGGCCAAAATTTCTGATTACAAATAAAACTTTTGATCTAGTAAACTTTAAACACCAATACAAGTTGTAGTAGAGATTGAGTAGAAATATAGCAATTTCTCTTAAGTAAAATTGGCTACTACTCATGTGCAAAATAATCCACTTCAAATAGGCACTCTCGAAAATAAACAATTTGCTTTAAGCAATCTTTTTTTTTTTCAAGTAGTAAACAATATAACACAAAGAACAAAATAGAAATAGTTAAGAGACTTTTAGATCTTGCTCTTATATGCTTCTCTCTTCAGTCTATGTTCTTTTTATAAGTAAAATTTTCAAAGAGACATTAGAAAGACATTGAAGCACTCTTGGCCTTTTGTGAAGACAAATTTTAGTCTTTTGTCTAAATAATAGCATGTAGGCTCACTTTAAAAAAAATCACAAAAATAGCTTACAATGTTCAAAAAATTCTAAAAAAAAAATTTGAACACTCTGCAATGAATCTACTTTTAAACACAAAAAGAACCATTTGAAAGAAATGGTCTTATCTTCTAAGTACATGTCAAACTAAAAAATTACTTTTGTCAAAATTTAGTCAACTTCAAAATTGTCTAGAGACTAAAATTCTCAACCAAAAATAATAAATTATACATTTTTGAAAAGCTCATAATGTCTATTTTCATTTGAAATTGGATAGGCATAAATTGAATTTTTTTATTTTATGTTATGCCTAAAATACTGTAATATACTCATTTTGTCTATTGATAATGTGACTTAGTAAAATGACTGATTTAGAAAAATTATGTCTTTCTAAGTACAAAACGTGCATATAATATATTCAGTTAAAACTTAGCACATTTATTACAAATAACATAAAATTAAAATTTTAGTAGCACCATAAAATGTATTTTACTATTTAAAACTCTTATGGTGTAGATTTCAATATTGACTTTTTCAGAACACAATATATAAAATTGATGTAAAAAACTTTTTTAATATATAAAAGTATATGAGATAAATTATACACCAAAATAAGGTTATTTTGATATAGTTTCATATAAAATTAACTTTGCTATTTTTAAAATTTTATATAATAAGATATAATCAATTCATTACATATACGTCCAATTGACAATTTCACTTTCTAGTACAACTTATAGTGCATTTATCTCTAAATAACAAACTCAACAATATAATTTGTCCGTATTTTTCATTATAAATATATATAATAATTTTAATTTATTTTATTAGTATTAAAATAAATATATATAATAATTTAATTTGTTTTGTCATTATCAAAATAAATATTAAATGCTGAAACTAACAATCTCCCCCTTTTTGTTGATGACAAAACAAATATACAATACAATGTATTCATTAAGCACATATTATATAAATTCTCTCCCTTTTGACATCATTAAAAAGATAAATTTATAAGCTCCCCTTCAAAATATGCATGAAAAATCTTTAGAGACTTTCCCTCTATGAAAATAAATTAAATGCAATGAATAATAATTATGTACTTAAGTCTATAATATCAAGTTCTCTTTTGATAAAAAAAAATCTTTATTCTTTAAAAGATTGTGTGAAAATTTCTGCTAATTGATATTCAGTGCTCACAAATTCAAGTGTTATATCCTTTTTTCTAACATGATCTCTCAAAAAGTGATGTCTAATATAAATGTGTTTTATTCTTGAGTGTTGAATGGGATTTTTAGATATGTTGATGGCACTAGTTTTGTCACACTTAATAGGAATGTGTTTATACATAAATCTAAATTCTAGTAAAATGTGTTTGATCTATAAAATTTATACACGACAACTTTCGATGGCTACATATTTTGTTTCGGCCATAGATAAGGCAACCAAATTTTATTTTTTACTAGTTCAAGAAATTAAAGATTTTTCGAGAAAATAGCAAGTTCTATTAGTACTTTTTCTATCCAATTTACATCTTTCCAAATCTGCATTCGAATAACTAATAAGTTCAAAGGAGATTCCTCTAAAATAAAATAATCCTACATTTTTAATTCATTTAAGATACTTAAAAATTCTGTTGATAGTATATAAATGAGATTATTTTGGGTTTGCTTGAAATCTAGCACACATACAAACACTAAACATGATAGTAAGATGGCTAGCAGTAAAATAAAACAAATTACTAATCATACCTCTATATAACTTGATATTTGTAGGTTTTCCGTTATATTCATCAAGTTTAATTGAGGTGCTTATAGGAGTTCTGATGATCTTAAAATTATTCATTCCAAATCTTTTTAGTAGTTATTTAGTGTACTTATCTTGATTGATCATAATCCCTTCTTTAAATATTTTTATTTAAAAACCAAGAAAGAAATTCAACTCATCAATTATACTCATATCAAATTCATTTTGTATAGATAAAGCAAATTTTTCTTATAAAGATTTATTAATAGCTTCAAAGATAATATCATCCACATAAATTTGAACAATGAGTAAATTATCATTTTCTTTCCTTATAAATAAAGTATTATTCACTTTTTCTATTGAAAATCCATTTTCTAATAAAAACTTTGAAAACATTTCATACTATGATTTAGGAGTTTGTTTTAAACCATATAAAATTTTTGAAAGTTTGTAAATATGATTTACATATTTCTCATTTTCAAAACCTGATAGTTATTCAACATAAACCTTTTCAATAATAAAACTATTTAGAAAGACACTCTTAAGATCCATTTAAAATAATTTGAAATTCATATAAAATGCAAATACAAATGATATTCTAATAGATTCAAGTCTAGTTATGGGAGTAAAAATCTTTTCATAATCTATTTCTTTTTCTTGATTGAAATTTTGAATTATAAGTCTTACTTTATTTCTAATTATATTACCAGATTCATCAAGTTTATTTTTAAAAACCATTTGACTCAAATAACCATATGATCACCAGGTCTAGGCACTAATTCCCAAATTTTATTTCTTTTAAATTGATTTAACTATTCTTGCATAACTAAAACCCAATTTTTATTATTAATAGTATCATGAATAGTTTTGGACTCAATTTGAGAAATAAAAGACAAGTGTTCACAAATATTTTTTAATTGACTTCTAATTTTTCTATAATCACTAGGATTACCAATAATTTGATTTATCGGGTGACTAGATTTATATTTTCAAACTTTGACAAATTCCTATGCAGAGATTCATCAAGATTTTCTATATAAGAGGGATTTTCAATTTCTTTTTCTTTATCATTAATGTTTAAATTAACTAAATAATCCTCAATATCATTATATGTAACTTTATGTAAAAATAGATCAATTTTATCAAATGTAATATGAATAGATTCTTCAACTATATTAATTCTTTTATTAAAAACTTTATAAACCTTACTTGTAGTAAAATAACTAAAAAATGTACTTTAATCAAATTTAGCATCAAATTTACTAATATCATCTTTAATGTTGAAGATAAAATATTTACACCCAAATACTTTATTAAAATAACCAATCATAGGTTTTCTATCAAACCACAGTTCAAAATGAGTTTTCTTAAGAATAGGTTTAATAAGAACTCAATCTAAAATATAACAAATCATATTAACTGCTTCAGCCCAAAAATATTTAGGTAACTTGCATTCATTAAGTATAATTCGAGTCATTTTTTATAAAGTTTAATTTTTTCTTTCAACAACTCTATTTTTTGTAGTGTTCTAAGTGTTGAAAAATTATACTTATACCCATAAGTATTACAAAGATTTTCAAATTCTCCACTATAATCACTCATAATTTTTGAAATTATATAACATTTTTTCATT